TCCAGCTGTGTGGCTGAGTGAGGACAGGGTGTGAAGTGTGCACTTGCTCTGTCAGCCAGGCCCAGATAGCCACGACATCATCTCTTCCTCTTTTCTCCTCCACCCCTTCTCTGCACAAGCCCCTGGGTCTGACCATCACTTCTTCCTGCTCCTCTACACTGGACAATAAAATTCCTTCTAGTCCCTCAGGAACCCCATCCTGTTTCCCAGGACCCTCTTCTTAGTCCTTTAGAAACCCCCCTCCAGACTCCCATCTGTTTCCCTGGACCCTTTTCCCAACCCTTAGATAATCTCCTGCTCCATCAGGACCCTCCCTCAGGTTCCCCAGCACTCTCGGGTACTCCAAAGCCTCTTTCTAGTCCCTTAGGATCCTGTGCTGGTCTTTCTTGATCTCCCAAGACCCTCTTACTGATGTATAGATGAAAAATAGGTCCTCAAAACAGACCTATCTGATCCCTCCACCCAGACACGGATGACCCTGCGTACCAGCGTGCGTGCAGCCTTGGTCATTTCTAGACTCCTACAAGCAGTGAGAAACCATTTCCGCGTGCCTTAGCCTAGGACCTGGCTTCTTCATACAGATATCCCGCATCTGTGCTGGTCTCCCCTTACCAAAGGAGCTAACCTCAGAAGGAGAAAGAGGGTTCCAGAGACTGCAACCAGGTGGCCACCATTGGTCCAGAGAAAGAGAGCTCTAGGATTTGGAATTTCCCGTATTGTTAGGTTTGCTGCTCGGAAGCTGGACAGTGCTGCGGCTTCTGGGAAGTCCCGGTGAGTACGCATGGACGTGCCTGCTGTTCCAGTGACTCCTGACTGCAGTGGGACCCCGCCCACCCTCAACCCTCAGGCCTTCATGGCTTACACTGCATGTGGACATCGACAGCTTGCAGAATAATCAGGACGTGAAGGAGGAAACGTAGAGGCAAAAATCAAATGGAATCACCCTGTGAGAGGGAAGCTCTCCAGGGGCAGCTAAGGATGCGTGCAGGCTTACTTCTGACCTGCTTTTGGTCAGGTAGGACAGATGTCAAGTCACGGTGAATCGCCTTCCAGGTTGAAAGTCCTCCTAGAAACTGCTCCCTTACACTAACCTCAGGCTTGAAGATGCCACCATCCTTGGTTATTTCTAGCCAGGGAGGTTGAGCTGGGTCCCCAGTGGCAGCATCTGGGTCTCCCTCCAGGACAGGCCAGTGGTGATCTGTGAGGACTCAGAGGATATATTCTAGGCCCTGGGACCCTGATCTGTGGTTCTCAACCCACCAGGGACACAGGGTTGGTTTCCTCCCAGCCTGTGGAAGCAGCCATGAATCCAGAACAGCTTTAGGTTAGCGTGGCTAGGGTCAAACTGCCCACTTCAGATTCCATGTGTGTGACCTGGGCAATCTACCCAGAGATCACAGGGAAGCGGACACTGAGACAAAGATGGAAAGGAGACCTCTGTGAGCATGCAGTGTCTTTACTGAAATGTGCGTCGGAGTTTCCTTGAACAAGGCTGAGGTGAGAGTCTCTCTTGTCCAGTATGCCTGGAAGTAGGGTCTGTGGCAGCAGTCTGTGGGTAAGACTGTGGGGCCAGGACCAGTGCTCTTGCTCAGGTTCGAGTGCAGCCTCCATCTCTCTCAATAACCAGAATGTGAGTACAAGGATGGCACCTCCAGCCACACAACAGGATGGTGGCCAATCTGTAGGTCAAGGTGGGGGTTCTGGCAACCCATGAATGCAGAAGTGAGTGAATGAGGCAGAAGGCTCAGCACACAGTACAGATGTCCACAAATCGGGGTACCAGGCCCCCTCTAACTATGGAGTCTGGTGGTAACTCCACTTATTTGAGGAGCTGCCAGCACGTTCTCTAGAGTGATGGACCACTTTGCGTTCCCGTCAGCAGTGCGTGAGAGTTCCAGTTCCTCCATATTGTCACTGACACTTGTTACTGTCAGACTCGACCCTCTCTTACCATGTGGAATTTCTTTCAGAAATAATGGCATCAACTGTATGTATATGTGGGGGGGGGCATGTGTGGTATGTGTGTGTGTCTGTCTGTCTGTCTTTGTTCTGTGTGTGAGTATGCGTATGTGTGTGTGTGTATGAGCTATTTGTTTACTTTCATGGTATTACAAATAGGATTTTCATTTTCAAATTATTTATTGCAAGTTTAGAAAGAAAAATTTGACTTTTGTATATTTATCCCTCAATATTACTGAATTAGCTTTTCAGATCGAATGTGTTCATTTATTTTCGTGGATTTTTAGGGCTTTTCTGTACACAAGGTCATGTCACCTCTGAACATAGGGTCATTTCTTCCTTTCTAAACTGGATTTTTAAAAATGTATTTTTTAAAACGTATTTTTAAAAATAAATTTATTATTCACTTTACATCCTGATCATAGCCGCCTCCCTCTTCTCCTCCTGGCCCCACCCTTCCTCTCTCTTCCCCATCCCTGCTTTCCTACTCCCCAGAAAAGGGGAGCCCACACACACATAGCAGCCCACCCCAGCACATAAAGCCAAATCAAGACTGAGCGCATCCTCTTCCCCTATGGCCTGACAAGGCAACCCCACCAGGGTAAAGTCATCAAAAGGCGGGTAACAGAGTCCATGTCAGAGGCAGCCCCCACTCTCCTTACTAGGTAACCCACATGAAGACCAAGCTGCCCATCGGCTATGTCTGTGTAGGAGACCTAGGTCCAACCTAGGTCTTTGGTTGGTGCTTCAGTCTCCTCAGGCTCCTCTGGGATCTGGTTAGTTGGCTCTGTTGGTCAACTTATGGTTCTCCTGTTTCCTCTAGGTCCTTCTGCTCATCCCCCCAGTCTTCCACATGGCTCCCTGCACTCCTCCCAATGTTTGTCTGTGAGTCTCAGCATCTGTTTTGATCTGCTGTTGGGTGGAGTCTCTTAGAAGACAGCTATTCGAGGCTCCTGTCTGCAAGCATAGCAGAGTATCGTTAATAGTGTCATGAGCTGGCTTTCTCCCATGGGGTGGGCCTTAGGTTGGGCCAGCCATTGGTTGGGCATTCCCTAAATCTCTGCTCTATTTTTATCCCTGTACATCTTATAGGCAGGGTAAATTTTGGGTTGAAGATTTTGTGGATGGCTTTGTGTTCTCCTCCCTCCACTAGGAGTCCTGTCTAGTTAGAGACTGTCCTCTTCAGTCTCCATGACCCTTGCTACTAGGGGTCTCAGCTAGAGTCACCTCCATATCCTTCCAAGCACCTATCCTGTCCTAGGTCTTCAGCTTGTCACAGAGATGCCCCTGTCCACAATTTCTCTTCTCCTACAGGCCCTCTGTCCTTCTGCTCCTACTCTCCCCAGGTCTGATCTCCACCCTTACTTCTCTCCACTTTCCCTTTCATATTCTGTTCCTCTCTTCAACCACTTCCGCTGTCTATTTCCCCCTTCTTTCCTTTTTCCTTTCTAAACAGAATTTTTTTTTCTAATTGTCTTGGCTTGAACCTTCAGAACTCCTTGGCTGTACCAAGGTACCAAGGAACGACTTGATTATCTAATCTAACTTTATTTGTTTGAAACAGGGTTTCTCTGTGTAGCGTTGGCTGTCCTGGACTCACTTTGTGGACCAGGCTGGCCTCGAACTCACAAGAGCTCCACCTTCCACTGCCTCCCTGGGTGCTGGGATCACAGGTGTGTGCCCCAGTACCTGGCTCTGATCTAGCTTTTTAATGATGCTATTATTGTAAAGTATATTAATCAGTTTCAGGTGTTAGGCCAACCTTGCTTTCCAAGCAAAAATTATTCTCCATCATGTTTTTTTTTTATTTTTTATATTATTATCTGTATCTATTTATTGGGAGGGCATGTGTGTGCCATAACCCACATGCGAATGTTAACTTGCAGAAGTTGCAGAAGTCCTTCTACCAGGTATGTCTTGGGAATCAAATTCAGGTCGTCAGTTTTGGTGGCAAGTATGTTTACCTGCTCTGCCATCTCAAAGGCCCCTCCACTGTGCTTTCTCAGTCTTCTATCTGCTGCTGGATTTTGTTGGTTATTAATCTTTTACTGTTGTTTTTCTTTTTGTTTCTGAGATGGTCTCATGTAGCCTCAATTCAATATATAGTTGAGGACGGCCTTGAATTCCTCCTGCCTCCATCTCCCAAGCGTTGGGGTTAGTGAGGTGCACCACCACAGTTGACCTTGTTTGTCTTATGTTTCTGTAGCCTTCGAAGACGACGCTGTCTGGGCCGTGCGCCTGAGACAGTAGGGTGAGCTGTGAAGTGCCTGCTCCACTCTTGTCACGGTCGGCGAGCACTTGGTATTAACACTCGACACACTGTAGAATGCCATGTGGAGCCATCAGGACCTGTGGTTTCTGTCTGGGCAGACTGCTGATTTAATCTCCCCGCCGCTGACTCTTGTCTGCAGGCTTGCTTTAGGGCCATTCAGATGCTCTTTTCTTCCCAAGTCCATTTTTGTTTAGCATTCTAGAATTTGCCCATTGCATCTAAATTACCCACCTTGCAGGTGTGCATTCACAATGTGGCCTATATCCTTTTCCTTCACGGTGGCTGTAGCAGCGTCCCCACCTGCATTTCCTGGTCTAGTTGTGTGAAGTGTGTCAAGTTTGATCTTTTCAGGAATCAAGGTCTCAGGTCCACCCTCTGGGTATTCTCTATTGCCTCTTTCTGTGCAGCAGGATTCCTTTTCCTCTACTTTTCCCAGCTGTCTAAAGATGGAATGTTAGGTTATTCATGCCAGAACTTTTTGTAGGCCTCTCACTGATCAAGTCAGAGGTGGTCAGTGGTCAGTGGCTCCGGGTTTTAAATGCCATTCCAATTTCCTGAGTCACCCTGCTCATCAGCCCACATACAGATATGATGTCAAAAAAATTTTCAAACGAGTAGGGGGCAGATTGGACCTTTTCAGCCAAACTCGTCTATACTCTTTCTCCACTCCCACTCGCGCCGGTGCGGGTCTGTGTGACATCCAGCATCCCTGCCTGACTTCCTCGTGGCCACCGCCCATCTGCCAACCGGGTGTCCCTCTCCTCCACAGGGCGAGTGCTCCACAAAGTGCCGCAACCTGTTCGTGCTGGAGACGGTGTGCGTGGCCTGGTTCTCCTTCGAGTTCCTGCTGCGCTCCCTGCAAGCCGAGAGCAAGTGCGCCTTCCTGCGGACGCCGCTTGCCATCATCGACATCCTGGCCATCCTGCCCTTCTACGTGTCGCTGCTCGCGGGCCTGGCGGCAGGGCCCATGGGCAGCAAGATGCTGGAGCGAGCCGGGCTGGTGCTGCGGCTGCTGAGGGCGCTGCGGGTGCTCTACGTGATGCGTCTGGCGCGCCACTCGCTAGGGCTGCGCTCGCTGGGCCTCACCGTGCGCCGCTGCGCGCGCGAGTTCGGACTGCTGCTGCTCTTCCTCTGCGTGGCCATGGCGCTCTTCGCGCCGCTCGTGCACCTGGCGGAGCGCGAGCTGGGCGCTCGCCGCGACTTCTCCAGCGTCCCCGCCAGCTACTGGTGGGCGGTCATCTCCATGACCACCGTGGGCTACGGAGACATGGTGCCGCGCAGCCTTCCGGGCCAGGTGGTGGCGCTGAGCAGCATCCTCAGCGGCATCCTGCTCATGGCCTTCCCTGTCACTTCCATCTTCCACACCTTCTCGCGCTCCTACTCGGAGCTCAAGGAGCAGCAAAAGCGCTCGGCCAGCCCTGAGCCGGCCCTACGCGAGGACAGCACTCGCGACGACAGCACGCGTTCAGCCAGCGCCACCGAAGACAGCTCGCAGGACCCCGAGAGCAAAGGCGCGGCAGGGAGCTCGCCAGGCCGGGTGGGACCCTGAGCTGAGTGCTCTGTGATAGCTGCTGGGGGTCAAAGCCTAGGAGAGGACAACAAGCGCTCGCTGACCCAGGAGTCAAAAACCTGGCCTGGCATGTCCTCGCAGCTAGCTCGGCTCCCCAAGCAACCCCGAGCTTCACGTAGCGTGGAGGGAGGATACAGCAGCCTGGTTTTTCTTTTTGCTTTTATTTTCCCTCGTTTTAAATTTTCTATGGCTAATTAAAATAATTAGAAATTACACGTCTGAAGCAAAAGCCAGTCACCCTGGACTAAATTTTGCCCCCCTCCCCCCGCTTTGCTCCTAATCTCCAGGGAAGGGAGGATAGCATCTACCTTGTGTCCCTCAGTGGGCATAGAGGGCTTCCGCTGGCATCTGGCACTGCCAATGTCCATATCACCTGCCAAGTGTTGGGGCAGAGGTTTGATCGGGTATTTAGCCCCCTAGTTCTGCCTATTCATCCTTTGCAGGGGGTGAAGTGATTCTCAATCTTGACCTCTGACCTCTGTTCCTCCAAACAATCTCAATCAGATGATAAGGCTGTTCAAGGTTTGCACAGTGGCCTTTTAACCCTTTCCCTGCCCTCCCTGGTCTATAGAATGGTTGTCTGTCTGCAGGTGATGTTGGTACCTCTTCTGTTGGGATGTTTCCCTCTGATGTAAGGAGGCAGTTCAGGGAGAAGACTGAGGACACCTCTAGGAAGCTCCTGCTGGGACACTGGCATGCAGGGGCAAGCAGGGCCTTTCTCTGCTCAGTGGAGGCAAGGGAAATGGAATTCTCCAAACCATTTTGTGTTGCTCTTTTTTCAGCAAGCCCACGGGTGCTAGCACATGCCCGTAACTGCAGCACTTGGGAAGTGGAGAGAGGAAGATCAAAAGTTCGGTGAGCTCGACGCCACACCTGAAATAGTCGTGGCCCTCGTCGTCAGAAGGGAAGGTCCTCCATCTTCAGCCACCATCTTGCCTACTACTTAGTAGCTCTCAGCAAGGCCCCTATGTGAGCGACCCTGGGGCCCTGCACCACAGGCTTTGCAAGAATCGACTACAACCAAATAAACCTCCCAGGCCCTCCTCACGGCAGCAGGCTGAGTTCCTCTCACTTGGCTATCACTTATGTTTCCTGGGGTCAATGCCGAGCCTAGGGCTAGAAAGAGGGTTTCCTGTGATTTGGCCGGGGTGGGGGGGGGGGGATGGCAAACACACAGGACAGAGCACCTCAACCTCTGGCTTTGTGAGAATCCTTGCTGCTTCTACAAAATGCCCTTACAGTGCAGTAAGCCCAGCCTCACATGGTCCTCATTCCCAGGGCAGATGGGTGATTTCAGGGTGTCAGGTGGAGAACCAAATCCAGGACTTGGGAGTTTGGATATCCATGGCATGTCCCTGGGGTTAGGGGTGGCATGGAGTAGCTAAGATGCATGCAGACGGGCTTCATCTGTCAAGACACAGGGTATGAGAGGTAAGGGTCCTGGGAAGAAAAACAGGTAACTTGATCTTGCCAGCAGCAAGACCAAGCAAGGGACGGAAGCCAGTGAACTACACAAGAGAATCTTGTCCCACTTCTCTTCAGAGCATCCCCTTCTCTGGGATCTTTGCACACACTGTTTGAGACAAAAGGATGCTCAGCTTTCAGACCTGGAAACAGCTGCTCAGGACGGCCTTGGCCAAGCCTGGCTGAAACGTGGACCACAGCTCGCAGTTTGTTTAGCCCCTAGTAGCAGCTCTTTATGGAGCAGAGCCCCCTTCTTCATACTGGGCCCACATCCACCAAGGCCAAGGCCAGCAGGGTCTTTTTAGGCACTTGTAGTGAAGGAATGCAGAAAGTGCAGGGACCAGGAGAGCCAGAACTTCCTCCAAGAGGGGCAGAGCTAGGAGTTACCCAAGTGTACCTTGGGCTCAGGCCTGCCTCCCCAGCATGCAAAAGATTACCCAAGTGTACCTTGGGCTCAGGCCTGCCTCCCCAGCATGCAAAAGAACGTGGGCACTGACCACACAGTGAAGGCGGGCCTGGACTTTCAAGGTGAACTGCCCTTTATGTAGCAATGGCCTTGGGCTTGCTTAGGGCCTCCTGTACCAGACTGGCATTCAAGTGGGCTCCTGATTGGCAGGGCACTGATTTCCTCCATGAAGATCCCAGAAGTAAATTCCAGGTTGCTGTTCCTTGGAAGTCAGGTAAGCCACGTGGAATGAGCAAGCGATCCATAGTCATCTGTCCGGAGCCTGAAAACACCCTCAGCCAAGGCATCAGAAGCCACCCTGGGTTACCATATGGCAGGGCTGACAGCCAGCTCTGTTGAGAATGGGCGCAGGGAATGCCCTCTTGGCTAGACCACCAGCTCTGGGCTTCCTCTGCCTATACAGACCAGGAGGACTCCCCTCCTAAAACCTTCTGGGAAGGGTACAGGGCTGGACAAGCTGTGGCCACAGCTCCCTGTTTGGCTTCAGGAAACATGGATTCCCCAGATTCCTGACAGCCCTCCCAGGGCATAGATGAAGTCCATGTGGGAACAGGTGACAAGACACCACGGAGCACGGGCTGCATCCTTGATGCCTGTGATGCTAACAGTAGCCACAACCACAGCAACGACTGGGCTGGGTAAGGTGGCTCCTTTTCACACCCCAAGAGCTGGGCTGAGCTTGTATGCTAAGAACTGAAGTGAGGTGCAGCCTCAGCGGTGCAGGCAGTGACGCCACAGCCTGCCAACACCCTGCCAGGCTAGAGAACAGAAGTCAATACATCGTTGAGGCCAGGCACTGCCTCACTCCTGAGCTTCTGTTTCCTCACTGCTAAACAGATGGTCCAGAGTGATCCCCAGACCTCCTGCTTCAACAGCTGGGGAACAATCCCACTCATGTCTGTATAGCTCTGGCTTTCCTGGAACCCTCTTGCCCTCATGGAGGACAATTTGAGCCCATCCATCCCAGAAGTCCACATTGTCCAGTGCCAAACAGAGGACCTCACCCACCCTAGACCTGGACCAGGTCCCTGAAAGCCACACGAGCCCTTCAGCCCAAAGCAATCCTGAATCTCCTACCTGAACCTATGCCAGCATCCACCTCCCAAACTAGTACCAGTCACCCTTCTCCCCAAACTCGTACCACTGCCCTCTACCCTCCATCTCGGCCCCCTCCAGCCCTGTCCTCTTGCTGTGATTCCATCCTCCCCCCTGGACCCATATGTTGTTTATCGACTTAAATACACCACATGGAGCGTGTTCATTCAGCAGCTGGGCCTGCAATCGATGACATTTACTTTGGAGGTAATTACCAATACAGACATCTCCCTTCATTTTTAAAAAATAAACATCTTACAGGCCAGAGAGTAGGCAGGGATCTTGCTCACACACTTAGAATATCCAAAGGAAGCTTGAAGGTGACACAGTGGACTCTTCAGCCATTTGGTGAGCCACCATGACTGTTGGAGCTATTGTGCTAACTGTACGGCATTACTGTGTGCACAAGAAGTCCTTCTGCCCAGCAGAAGGGAAGATACTGTTATGTAGAAGCATCTAGAACATTCTGGACCCAGGAGTCAGCCAGGTCAGCACAGGGCTGCCAAGCATAACATGACCTCATGATGAGCTAAGAGAAGGGCAAAATACAGTGACCAGCATCAGCCCAACAGTCCACCTCTACCAGGTGCAGTGGACACACCTGTGGCACACACAGGCAGGCCAGGCCAGAGCCTGAGAACAGACAGCCACCAGTAGCCATGACTGCACTGTCTAGAGTGCCAGCGGCTCTGCTAGGAGACAAGAGGCTCACTGAGGGAAGCTGGCTGAGCAGAAGGGACTCAGCGGGTTGCTGTGCCTGCCATCTTGCTCAGTGGCATGAACGTATTTCAGGGTCAGGCCAGTGTTTTTCTGAAGGAGGTAGGGAAAGACACCTGCCTTTTCTCTCACCTTGAAAACACCACAGAGCCAGCCTAGCTCCTCACTGTCCCTGAGTCCCCCACCCAAAGGCTATGAGGACACAGCACTCAACCTCATCTCTGCTCACACCTGGTCGGCTCATCTGTGGAGCGCACAGGGCCAGCCTCCTGAGTGCAGAGGCATAGGTTGGGACTCAGTACCCACAGCTGGTTGGTCATGTGTCCTTGTCCTCCCTAGAAGCCTCAGAGAGCCTTGGCACTGACAGGGTGCACTGCATGAGATGCTGGCTTCTGGGGGTGGCGAGCAAAGGCATAGGCCTGTCCCAGGATGGCCAGGTCCACCATAACCTGCAGTAGACCACAGACTGAGAACTGCAGAGGTGCACCGTTGAGCAAGAAGTAGGCTGTCTTGAAGGTGTCACCACTTGTCCACATGAGCACCATCTTGAGGCTGCAAGAACACAAAAGGGCAGTTAGCGTTGACCCGAGAACAGAGACACATGCATACAGGGCAGCAGTGTGACACCAAGGATTAGGGGGCACAGTAAGATGGCAGCTGCAGAAGGAGGTAGAGCACCCTGACCCAGTCCTGTCCGACCTACCACCCTGCTCCCTTCCCTGGTCCCAGAAAGAAAGGAGAGTCTACCTCAGACCAGGACCTGGGAGTTCTGACCCTCACAGGTTAGACCATGGCTCTGAACAGGCCCTGAGAATGGCCTGATCTCAGAGAGCCACAGGGCTGGTATCCAAGGAGGCTGGGACCTTAGGGTTCTTCAGCCTGGCCCAGCAGGGCGCTACACATGTCTGAGAGGAACGGAGGAGGCAAAGATAATACACAAAGCACAAAGCAACTGCCCTAGGCCCTCCCCTCAAGAGAGACTTCCATGAGAGAAACAAACAGCTGCCTTATTGTCCCACACCGCTTGTCTGCACATGGCATCAGGGGCCACAGACATGACAACTTTTCCTGCTAATAGGTGCAATCAAGCCCAGCTTTCCTGGCAGGATGAGCCTATAGCACTAAAACTGTATGCAGCCCAAGCATGGGGGCTGCAGCTGATGACACTTACAGCTGCAAGGCTCCTAACACAAGGCAGAGGAGACCTCCCACAAGCTAAAGACACAACCACTTTCTTTGAGCACCTCTCTGCAGTATTCCAGCTTCCCGTCCTTTTGGGGCCACCAGCTTACTCCTTCCTGAAATGGCTACCTCTTTATGCCAACCCCAGTGCTGCAGCTCAGATGCCCCAAAACAAAGGGGGCAGCACACCCTAATCTCCTGATCCTACATCCACAAACCCAGGGTTATGAGAGGTTCAGCCCCAGGCCTTTCTACAGGCAGGGATCTGAGTGTCTATGAGGAAACTGTAGTGATTGGGAAGAACTTGGGAGACCGCTTAGTGGTTTATGTTAGACACTGTACTTTTCCCACTACTGTGACAAAATACGCTACAAAAGCAACATAATAAGGAAGGAATGGTTTGTTTTGGCTCACAGTTTGGGGAGGGCACAGCAGCAAGAGGATGCGGCAGCCAGGCACTGTACTGGTATCCATATTCTGGGAGCAGGGGGAAGAAAATGCTTGCTTCTTCTGTTTTATTCCAGGACCCCAGCCCATGAAGCGTCCACAGTTAGGGATGACCTCTCCACTTCAGTTAACCAATCTAGAAACTCCCTTACAGACATGTCAAGAAGTCTCTCCCCTAAACAGCTGTAGACCCTGTCAAGCCGACAGTGTTAAGCATCACAGCCAAGGTTCTAGAAATCTGAACACAGAAATGCTACAAACTTCTGCCCCTGGCTCTCCACTCCAGCTCCAGCTCCAGCTCCAGGTCCTGAGGTTTTCTTTCAGACTTAGGAAATGTTCTTCTGCTACACTTGAACTGTAGCTTATGCCACAGCTAAGCTGTCATATAATTTTAATGTCCTCCTATTCTAAAACCTTAGTGGAGCCAGGTGTGGTGGTACTTGGGTGACAGGGGCAAATGGACAGGGAGTTCAAGACCAGCCTCCGCTACAAGATTTTGCCTCAAAAGAAATAACATTACTGGAAACCATTATTAGACACCATACACATACACAATGCAGATAAAGGATCCCTGAAAGACATACAAATATGAGGCCATATGGAGTTTACTCTTGGCTGGTGTTTCACACGTGGTTGGACAAATCTGAGGCTACAGGTGGCTGGAGCCAGGCTGTATGACATGACAGCTCTAGGGCCAAGAGCCCCAGATGTCACCTCTCAAGACTGGTGACAATGCCCCTCATAATCCTACAACACCAGATTAACAGGCAACAATTTCCATTGGATCTTCTAAGAGAGTCAAGACAAGAAAGAAGGCTTTCAGCTCTCATTTTAAGAGTGGGCAAATCCACACTGCTGGGTTCAGAACACCCAGGGTGATAGATAGGGGTGGTGAGGACAAAGGATGGGCCTTAAGTCACCCCTGCAACAACCGCACACCTGAGCTTCAGTCTCTCAACAGAGGAGCAGAGGATGGGGAGGGCCAGGTCACTCCACTGCTGTGGGGCTTCATTTGACTCACTACCTCTCAAACAGAGGTCAGGATTCCCCTAGGACAGACACTCATATACACCAAACTCCAGAAGGCCTTGAAACAGTCACACCTGTCCAGGCCCTCAGGAAAGACCTGGACGGTCATGTCTGTCCACTTATCACAAACAGAAAGCAGGTGATGGACTCTCAGGTTCCAGTCTTACAGTCATTGGCACAAAGCCCTGGCCAGGTAGCAGGCTGGGCTGTACGAGGGACATGACATGAGTTTGCTGCGAACCAACGGAAACTAAGAAGGCCCTGCAGGCAGAGCTAGCCAACTTGCGTCTCCAAGTCACAGATGCGTGGTAAGCATTTGCTCGGATAAAACATGCAGAGGTGGCCTGGGTGGCCCAGTTAAGACACACAGAGAGGGTGCTTAAATCATTCACTCAGTGTCACACAAAGCGGGTGTGGGATCTCTTGGGCTTGACCCCAAAGTCTGGCAGAGACAGGTCTGCAGCACAGGATATACAGCTGTAAGCCCTGAGTCCCAGACCACCTGTCCCCGATCCTGGCCACCTGCCCGATGCCCTCACTGTTGACATCCCATTGGCCCCAAGTGCATAGCTGTCTGTAACAGCAAGAGGAGACATGAGGTAATTGCTGGAGCATGACACCGCCCAGTGCCGGGGGTTAGTCTCAGATCCACAGATTCTTCCTTCAGATGGTCTCTGTCCTCCAGAAGATAACTCACTGGTAACGCCCACACCGTTCTTTCCTGGGACAGGCATGCTAAGCTTCTGACACACTCCGAGTGGCTCCGAGAGTTCTCAGAGGGGAGGAAACCATGGTCTATACATCAGAAGCCACAGGGCTGCTGTACACAGGGCAAACCCACAGGTCAGCTTCCTGGGACTGACAGTGTTTTCTTTGCTCTGAGGCAAGGGACACTAGCCCTCCTCCACACTGGGGTTTCCCTAATCAGTGCCATTTTCATGAGCAAAGAGTGAACACCACCCCTGAAATCCCAACTCTTGGGATGCCAAGGTAGGAGAATCAAGTGTTTAATGGGCTAGGAATGATAGTGAGCGCCTTTAACCCAGTATTTGGGAGGCAGAGGCAAGAGGATCTCTGTGAGTTCAAGGTCAGCCTGGTCTACATAGAGAGATCTAGGACTATACAGAGAGACCATGTTTCAAAAAAAGGAGAAGGAGAAGAGCAAGAAAGCAAGCAAGCAAGAAAGAAATAGGGAGAAAAGACAAAGAGTTCAACAGCAGCCTAGGGAAAGTGGGGTGTACCACTTGTCCTTGGATAGAGGAAACAGCTGGCCTAGGGTCTCTAACCAAGAGATACCCATAGTACTGGATGTCTGCTCTCCCAGGCAGGAAGCCTTGCTTTGGAGCCAGTGTAGGTGTGAAGCGACTGTCGTCACAAAGACCTGGATTTTCTACTTCAGTACCTGACTATGGCTGGTGGCCTAGGCATGGCTGCACTTCCCTCTTCACCCCTTCCCTCTGCTTCTGCTCAGTGCTGACTGCTGTCTCTTCTATGGGCCTCTTGGCCTGACCCTTCTGTCCTCCCCCACTGTTTTAATCTAGGCTCCAATTACCTCAGCCTTGGCTCCAGCATTTTTCTTCCAAACCAGGCTGCCAGATCAGTGCTCTTAAAATACCTCCTCGCCTCATCCTTGCCCTGGGCAGCCGACAGGAATGCCTCCCTCGGGCACCCAGGACAGTAAAACCAACTGTTGCACCTGCTCAGCG